AAAAATGCGAATTTCCTTGCATTTTGTAGGACTTTCCTTACACATCCCGCAGTTCCTTACATTTTGTAGGACTTTCCATAAAAAAATTTTCTATAGGGAATAGTCTTTGACTGTAAGTAACTAATAAACCCAGTGTGATTGACCCCCTAGCCCTTCTAATGGTTAATGATCTGGCCAACCTTTAATTATTAGTTGGGAACCCTTTTAATTATTCAGATACATCTCAAGAGAACGTCTTTGGGATATAATTATTTAAATAGAACCTAGTAATGTAAGTCAGTGGGTAGGCTGTGCATCACAAAAAGGTAATGACCATAAGTCAGTGGGTAGGCTGTGTGTCATACATATATATATAAATAAAGGAAAATTGACTGTAAGTCAGTGGGTAGGCTGTGTGTCAAACAATAGAATCAACTGTAAGTCAGTGGGTAGGCTGTGTGTTGAACATTAAATACCCTATTAATTAGAAACTTGGATTGCATGCTTGGATTGTATATAATCCTTTTATATAATTTTTTTTATATGGATCTCCAGTTGATGGTGTTAGAAATTTAGTCAATCATAATTTTGCTTGACTTTTGAAAGCAATTGGATTTGTTGTAAGATCTTGTAAGGCTGTATAAATATCATCAAAGTCATCCTACAACTGACAAACAATTATTGCTCTGTTTTCAGGTAAAACACTTTTCAAATTAGAACTTTTAATTTATCTCCACCCATAAGACTGGTATAATTCCAACTCCTTGAATCTGGACTTTTCCAGATTCAAAATGTACACCAATTCTGATCATTTCTTTTTTTATTTGTTCCCTTATTTGATCACAACTTTGGTACTTGTTTCAGACAACACTAGACTCCAAAATTGGACAGTAATATGAAGTGTTAAATGTAATTCATCTGGAACCCAATGAGTTAATGGAGTCATAAAGAACAAAGGCGGATACTTATGCCTGGTAATTGGATTTTATTATTTCCATTTTTAATCAACAGACCCTGTAGCATTGAAATAAGTTTATCAACATCATTACACAATGATCATTAGCCTGGTGTTGGTTAATGCATTTATTAGCACGGATAAACACTTTCAAAATTCCCTGATGTTAAAAAGAATTGAAAAAAAAGATAAAAATCATAAAATTATAAAATTAAATAAAAAACCCCCATAAGACAGGGTTGGCAAATGTACAGTCCATTGATGGTCTATTGGTGGTCTATTGGGTCCATTAGTGTAACACTTTAACCATATTTAGTATTTTATTGATGGCAATGGACCAGTCCAAAATCCATCAGTTCTCAATGGGCCAGTCAATTTGCCAACCCTGCCATAAGATTATAAGCTAATAAATAAAAAAATCATAGGATTTGAATATTTTTGGCAATATGGCAAATTCATTTAATTTTTGGAGTGAGGTGAAATTCTAATTGGCTAATTTGAATTTTGCAATGTGAATTGGAAATTCATTTTCATGTACAAACTGTAAGTGGAATTTATAAATATAGGTTTTAAATTTTTTAATATAATAATTTTTTTAACTAACAATTATGAATCAAGAATTTTTTAAATTTTTTAATCAAGAAAACAACAATGATACAATAATGATGATAACAACAACTTGGAAAATTGCATCATATGCAATAAATCATATAAAACAAAAAATAGTTGAGTACAACATGAAAAGAAAAAACACCTTGAATATTGTGGATATCCTTCGGATACTCCCTTCTCCTGTTCAATACTACTTGACACAATTTAAAGAAAGTTTAACTTACAATATTAAAAAAAAATTGACATTATATCACAAAAGTTTAGGGAAAAAGACATCAACTATTCCATGTAGTGAGGGTATGTTTTTAGGTGTTTTTAAAAATGATTTGGAAAGATATTCATTCCCCTGCTAGAAGGTTGTACTTAAGTCCATTCATTGGAGAAGAAGGTAACAAAAGGTTAGAAAATTTACTTGGTAATGAGGATTGGTCAATTAGATATTTTGATAAAATTACAAATTCTTCTAATGTAATCATTAATTTTTCTACAAATAAAAGTTATTAAAATTTTAAATAATAATTTTAAAAATTTATTCCCGATTAGGAAATTTTCTATATGATCCCCATATTTTTGTTTTTCCATATTTTTGTACCCCAAAATGGGTGCGCAAATCGGTGGATCACGATAATTGAACACAAAACTTTAACGGAGCAACAAAGCTGTAATTTTTAAATTTCAATATTAAATATCATATAATTTATACAATTTTTGTAATTTATACAATTTTATATAATAACAATAATAAATGTCTATAAAAAATATATTTAATACCAACAACGGCACCTATAGCAGCACATCGCAAAATGTCGTTCCCTACAAAGTATTCCATGATCCAAAAAAACAACTATTAACTCCCGATAATAAAAACGCATATGATATTTGTTGTCCCAAAACTAATTGTAAATGTCTTCTTTTGAGAGCAAATATAGCAACTTGGGTTGACCTTCCTAAAGAATTGGTATGTGACGTCATCATTATATTACATCATTAATTATAAATTATCATTAATAACAATTAATATTATTGTTGTTAATGTAGTTAGAATTACCAAGTAATTTAAAATCTTTGGCATCAGATAAATCAACCAATGATCATAATGATAATGAACTATCATCAGATTCAGATTCGCCACTTCAGGGTTATTGGCAAATAAACAATATGCTTGAATTTGAAAATATTATATTTTCTAAAACTGTGGAAGAAACTGGTATAAAATATCTATTTTGTGCAAATTGTATAAATTGTGATTTAGAACCTTTAGGAATCCATGATACCAATGAGAATAATAGTAATGATGATGATCTTATACAAGAGGCAGGTATATTTCTATTAGCAACTCATAAAGGAAGTTACGATATTGGTGAGGATGTTATTAGTAAAAAATAATTATTAACTAGAGAAGTAGAATATGAGAGTGTGGAATAAAGAAATATATAAGATGAAAAATTTAGAAAATCAGATTATATATTAATTTATTTTTTTTTTTATATATTTATTTATTAGATTTTACTCGATAATAATGATAATAATTAATAATAATAATATAGTAATAATAATAATAATAATAATAATAACAATAACAATAATAATAATAATAATAATAATAATAATAATAATAATAATAATTTATTTATTTATTGTAAATTTATACAGAGTTGATTATATCGTATGATTATACGATGAATTTTCAGAAATTTAGCAGGAATAGAACCACCGCCTAGAGCTAAATGTTTTAAAAACTTTCTTTCTGTTATACAATGAATAAAAGATATAAATATGCAAAAGATCTATAATTTTTTATTAAAATAGCAAATATTGACAATAAATTAATTTTTTATTTACATACAGCAAATATTTAAAATAAAATAAAAACTTGAAAAATGTTCACAAAAAAATATTAGATTAAACTTCTTTTTTAGTTTCAATCTTGTCATCATATTCTTTATCGCCATGATAGCCAGAATCTTCGTCACAATCTTTAAATGTAAATTTAGGTAAAGAAAGATCTGAATGGTTTCTTTCAATTTTTGGTGATTGATCAACAGTTGATAAAGGCTCGATCCCAATAGTGTTCCCGTTACTTCCCAAACCCCCATCATTATTTGATCCAATTGAGCTTGACCTACTTCTTGAGCCCTGATCTTTTATCCGTGTCCGTGAATTTGATCTACTACGTCCCGTTATTTTTCCATTCTGTTGATCTAAAAAGAAAAATACATCATCATAGTCTGAATCATCAGCTCTCTCCCAATCCAAATTTTTTTCTGATAACCAATCTGAAATAGTCAAGAAACTACTAAATTGTAACCCTGTAGATGATGGTCTAGATGGTGAAGGTGAAGCTGATCCACTTCTGCTTTTCCCCTTAACTTCTCTAACTAAACGTGAATTATCAAAGTCTGGATAAATTTTTGGTCCAAGTTCATTTATTAATTCTGTAAGATCATATGATAGTTGTTCACGGACTTCTCTCAATGTTTGAAAATATGATTTTGTTGAAGGAATTAACGATAAGAAAAGTGGTCGAAGTGATCTAAACAAATGTATGTATATATATATATATATTTATTTATTGGTTTATTTAAAACCATTTAATAATAATATAATATAATAACAAATACCTATAAATATCATGTCCAGTGTCGGCCAATCTCATTGTTGCATAGCTATCAATAAAAATTATCGTCAATATTACAAATGGTGTAAATATCCCAAAGTTTAATATTTTCCATTCATATTTATATGCCATAAAAAGTGTTATTAACGCATATGATCCATATAATAATGGGGTGACAACAAGTGCAACCAACAATTTCCAAGTAGCAAGGACATCACGTCCGGCAACTTTTACACTAGAAGATTCTACTGCCTCTATTTATTATAAATAGATTATTAAAATATGATAATAGAATATATTAAGATTATTATTAATGTATTACCTTTAGCTTTCTTTGCACTTATTACACGAGCAATTATTATAAGCGGGAGATTAAGAATAAATCTATATATAATAAAAAATTTTAATAGTTTAATTTTCTTGTTATTATAAAATATATAAACAATAATAAACTTTTTTTTTACCCAGGCAATCCCAATATAATCCAAATAGTTAATACAATTATTCTATAGATTAATAAAAATAATACACGATAGCCATCTTCGACTGTTTTATTTACTTGATGATCTTTCAATCCATGATACTTTAACAATTGATTATAAGCCATAACTCTATTATTCATTTCTTTTACTCTGTCGTTATCTTTAAATTTCATATATCCTGATAAAAATCTACGATTCAACTCAATCACTTCATGTAATTCCAATTTATGATGTTCTGGTCTATACAATCTACGAGCAGCTTGAATTACCTTTTTTTTTAAATTTAAAGATAAAAATTAATTATAAATATAAAATAATTATATTTCAAGTAATAATAATAATAATGACTTACCATTAATGTCTCATAGTCTGGTGTATTAACAGTAACAGCTTTTAAACCCTTATAAATAATATCTAATAATTTGCTACATGCTTCACGTTTATCAGTTCCACCTTTTTTAAAATTTTCAACTAAATCTGGTGTTATAGAAATAGGGGAACCAAATTCTACAACTGCGCGTGATCTAAAGTGGTGTGCATGGAAATAATTCAAACCTTATATTTATTCCCAAAAAAAAAAAATAATATATATATATATATCACTTTAGTAATTTTTTTTTTTTTTTTTTTGAGGGATAAAATTAATAAAAGTATAAATGATAAATTTACCACATGGAACTATCTTTACATCAAGGTTGGGATTACGTGCCATAGCACCTAAAGCCATTATTGTGACACCAGCTAAAGATTAATCAATTTAAAGTTTATATTAAAAATCCAAAAAAAAAATTATAACCAATAAATCAATAAATCACTAATAAATAATAAACAAAAATACCTTTTAAAGGTAAAATTTCAGTTCTATCATGACTTCCACCTTCTGGAAATATCCCAATACAGTTACCATCATTCAGAGTATTATATACAGATTTGTAAACTTGACTTTGATCAACATGAGGTAAACATTTAAAGTCTGTTCCTTCACTGTTAGTCAATAATTTAAATGCATCCAATTCTTTAAATTCTTTTTTGATAATCAACTCAGTATCAGATATTATTTTGATAACTTCTGAGACGCTATTATTATCAGGTAATGCAATTTGTGATCCAACTTTTAAATCCTTTGTAAATTCCGTGCCAATTCCTTTTATCAATGTAGGATCAAGCTTTGAATTTTCTAAATATATTCTACCTTTTCCTGTTTTAGAAATATCATGAGGTCTAGCAACAGGTACTAAATAATACACAATTAATTAATAAGTATATTCTAGAAAATAGATAATGTAAATATAAATATATATTTACTTGCGTTAATTGCTTTGGCAATTGAACCAATATATCTACGTTTCATTGATTTTTCAGCAATCAAAAATGAAACTTGTCTTTGACAATGTCGCATTAAAACCAACGGATCAACAAACTAACATTTCAAGAATATTTGCAATATCATCATTACTGCTATCATTATCATTCATTAGTTGAATAAAAAGAACAATTATTATTTGTTAAATTAAATATTTACTTGATTTGCGTGAGGAGCAGCAACAAAAATTACAGGGCCTTCTTTAGGTATTTTATGTGATCCTCTTGATTTAACCTCACGAAAAAAAATGTCCAAAATTACACTAAAGAAAGCTACAATTATGTCATATAACTTTATAAACATTTTGTTTTTGTTGTTTTTGTTTAAAATGATTAAATGATTAAATGATAATTGTTTTTTTTTTTTTTTTTTTTTTTTTTTTTTTTTTAACAAAATAAAAATATAAGCTAAATATCTTTTGAAAATTATTAAAAAATCTAATGTTTATATATATGTTTTCAATTATTGTTGTTATTATTGTGGGAAAGAAAAGGATCGACATTTATTTGTTTACTATTCCTTATTTACAAAAATCCTATTACATAATAATAATTTATATTTAATTGCAGATCGCGAAGCATAGTGGAAATTCTATTCATATCACAATTTGATGATCATTGTGATAATGTTATATCATTAAACAATATGAATATAAAAATTGTTTATAAATAATAATGTTTTCCATTCATTTACTAATTCAATCCTTCTTTTCAATTTATTTTTATTTGTTTCAACTTTAAGATCAATAGATATATATTTTATATTGAATTCCGTTTATTTGACTAAAAATTATCCAAATTTTAGCTTCATATGCAACCTTTAGATTGATTCGCATCCAAACATACCCGAAATTTTTAAATGAAAGTGCGTAATATGAGAAGAAAAAATTACATAAAGTTTGTTTTATCCACTATTTTTTTTTATTATAAGCGTATATATATATATACCCTGCTCTTTCACTGAAGAATATATAGAAAAGTGTAGGAAAAAATACACACCTATTAGTGATATTAGGGTGACACTATGAAAATTTTTTGAATCATATGAAAACTAAAATTTTTTTTTTTTTACTGACAGATTCGACATTAATACAACTTCCAACTATAGAAATATGTATCAGGTGGAACATTGGGCGAGATAGTGACAGAAGTGGGAAGAGAAGTAGAAGAAGGTTTGTATGAGTCATAAGTGGGAGAAGTTGTAAAAGATACAAATTACATACAAAGCATATAATGTTAATACTTCCAGGACTTTCTTAACACGAAGATCTTCTACTAAAATGTAAACGTGATAATTGCAAATGTTGATCAAAATAGAATTTCCATTATGCTGATCCACGAATGAATCAGAAGATTCTTATAATGATCGGTGGTGCAAAAATGTGATAAAAACTGCTAATTGTCAACCTTTACACAAAAAGTTTACATTATACTTTTTGTGCCACAGGGTGATGTGGCTTTTATATATGAATAAAGTAAATCTTAAAAACTTTTTCTATGTAGGAAACGCAGATTTGGATAATTAAATTGCTAATTGTTAACCTTTGCATGAAAAGTTGTATTATTCTTTTTGTGCCACAGGGTGATGTACTTTTATATATAAATTAGTTAATCTCAAAAAATTTTTATCTAAAAACATATTTCAAGTGTGATGAAAAAAGCTTTCCTATGTAGGAAATTATAAGAAACAGATTTGTAATCACTAATTAAATTGCTAATCGTCAATCTTTGCACGAAAGTTGTATTATTTTTGCACTGCAGAATGATATTCTTTTATATATGAATAAAGTAGTAATTTATCTAAAAATTAATATAGTAGTGTAGTAAAATATGATTGTCCCTTAATATTAAACGGTTTTTCGGCTATTGATAGCCGATATTTTTTTTCTGTTGTAAAAAACTTTTCTGAAGGTATCACTTCCTAATACGAAAATGAATAAAAATTCGGTTGTTGTCCCTGTGGTTTTCGTAAAATCTTCCTTAAAAGTTGGTCGATTGACTATTTTTACTTTGCAGATCGTTAAATTGGCCAACAAAAAAATTATTTTGTGTTACCATTAAATAATACTTTGACCGTTTAAAAGATAAGAGCTCTTGCACGACTTTTTCACTGATTTATTCGCGGATCGTCAATTAATATACTTTAAAATATTAATATGGAAACTACTCTCTTGCAATCAAATTCGCACGTAAACTTTGCACATAAAGCGTCTTATAATATTATAGGTTTCGGTATACTTTGTATATGTATTGCCTCTTATGTTTTACAAACGGTATGTAATGAAGGAATCTTCTGATTTTAAATAGTTTCAACTAAAAAAATCCCTTTTATTGAAATAGGAATTAGCGCAATTTATTCAAACAAGAATGAATTATCACAAGCCATATTTTATTTTGTAAGTCTAAGAAACCATTATATTTTTAAATTTTTAAACATATGTTAAATTGTCGATTAATTTATTGTTTTATTTAGATGGATAGGACATAGCTTTTATATTTTAGTTTTCCCGTTTCAATTCATGTTTCATATGAACATTTATGAATATGTTAATGAATTTCTTAATGTTGGAAATGAATTAGTCGACAAGATGAGCATATCAGCTCATACAATTCTTATAAATCATGATGATGATGATGGCAGCAGCAGCAGCAGCAGCAACGACGACGACGATGACAACAATACGACAAATGTATTTCATATTTTAAATTCACAAAAACACCAAAATGTAATCAAATATGTGCTAAAATTCTCTGCACTGTTTGCAATTTGTATGTGTATTCCAGGATATATTTGGTACATTGCCGTGGCATTTACTACAACAGCTAAATTAACTGCAATTTTTAATACAAGTTGTTTTTGGGCTTATGTATTCTCAATATTATTATTAGGAGATTCGTTGCAAAAAGAAAAGATATTGGCGGTTTTCCTAAGTATTATGGGTGTTGCTATTATGACATTTTGGGATATAAGTAATGATAACCCGTCAGCAGATAAAAATTCAAAGTTTGATAATAATGATGAAGATCGTAGTCTGATTAATATGGGAGATTTTATAGCATTGGTTGGTGCCCTTGCTTATGGACTAAATGAAGTCATATATAAAAAATATGCAAGTCCATCAACCCCATCATGTTTATTCTCCAATACAATCACTGCTCTTATTGGCGTTTTCACTTTTTTATTCCTATGGATTCCGATTCCGATTTTACATTTTACTGGTATTGAGATATTTGAAATTCCAGATATGGAAACATTCGGTTTTATTATTCTTACTGCTATATCAGGAGTTTGTGTGAATGCCTCATTTATGTTGATCATAGCTTTTACATCACCACTTTTTGTTGCTATTGGATTAATGTTGACGATCCCAATAGTAGCATTGGTAGATGTTCTGATCGTTAGAAACCCACTAGGCATTAACACAATATTTGGAGGGTGTTTTATATTATTGGCATTTGCTTTATTATGTTACAGCAATAATAAAAAAGTGTGAATAATAGATAGTCATAAAAATTCATTAAACTATTAATAGAATGCAATTATTTATTTGATAGAATAAATACATATATATATATAAACTTGCTCATAAATAGATTGTTTAGTATAAATGAAATTTATTAACGAAGACCTTTTTGCCGCCAATCTTGGACATACCCCAAAGCCTTTTGACCAGTGATAAAAGATATAATGCTAAGTATTGTTAGCCAAAGTAATGTTTGAAAAATATTCAAGTATACCCAATAGTTATAGAATAATATCTCAATGGCTAATAATGAACTTAAAAATACTATTATTGCAAGAGAAGCAATGAGTTGGTTTTTAAAGAAAAAAATATTAACACCAAGACGTAGCCACTTCATATCAAAAAAGTTTGTTAATAAATAAACTAGAATAAAACAATAATATTGATCATATACGGATAAGTAAATAATACATACTGCACCAATCAAAAACATCCAAGGTATCAGTAATATTACTGAAAAAATATAAGACAACCATAATGGTGGCAACTTTTGTGAAGATTTAAAAATATGAATTATTTCTGGACGTGGTCCATATACTATTTCACTGTTCGAAAACAGAACATCCGGCATTGTTGAAATTGTTGGAAAAAAAAAAAATCAAAAATTTTTTTATTTTTATATGTGAGATCAACATCATGCACCAAATGGTTTATTGAAAAGTTTTTTTACTTGTAATTTAAAACAAAATCCACAAGCCAAATTTTGGTTTAGTTTTATTTAAAAATTTTTTTTGATTCTAACAGAATTATAACTATTATCGTTATACAACAACAATATATGCTTTTTACTCTGATGATGAAGTTGTTAAATCAAGATTGACAGTTCCAATATGATATTTAATTGGTTTGTTGTGAAAAAAAGTTCCAATTATAAGATCAAGATGATATTTTCTTGGTGACGAAAACAATTCTTCTGGTATTGACTTGAAAATTTCAATTCAAATATACTTGTCAAAAATCTTTAAATATACCATTTTTATGATGATGATAATAATAAAGTCAACCAACCAATTTAACACTAGCTTTCCCTGATTCACGAACTTGTACAATAAAAGGCAATTGAATCTTATTGTTATTTTCAGAAGATAAAATTAAAAAGGCTTGGTGAGGTTGGATTCCTTTTTGTGTCTTTTCATCTCTTATAGTAAATATCATTTTTATATCATCTCCTTGATTTAATTGAATAGGCGTGGAAAGTGAATTAGGGTATGTTAAACTTTTGGTAAGAAAAAAATAACAGATATTATAATTTTATTTTTAAATAACATTTATTATTTTACAATTAAATTCTGAGTTGTGTATCAAATCAATCTACCTTTCGGTTAGTTTTCTGACAGCTTCCGAAGTACTAACAGCTAGTTTAATATCACTCAAATCAAATGCCTTTTTAATCGTTTCTTGTGTTTCTTGTGCTAAAATTATATTAAAAAATGTGAATGAAACAACGGCCCATGTTAAAAGAAAGATATTGATATTTTGTTTAATTTTCATTTTAAAATAAATAGACCAAAAATTGTTTGCAAATACAAATGAACATTATGTCACATAGGTTCAAAATTTACTCATCATCGTTGTACTACCAATATAATGTGGGTGGAAAATCTATTTTCCGTGCAACAGAATAATTGGGGCATGCTGCAACAGCGAACATTATGTCACACAGTTCAAAATTAAATCTCTATTTTCTTATCCTTTTCTTTTATAAAGAAAAACAGCATACAGTCAACCCTCCTAATGCACCTCCCATAAATGCACACCCTCCCTAAATTCACGCTCCCACTCATTCCCGGGGGGTGCACTTAGGGGGGATGACTGTAATAATTTTGTATTTAAATGCATATCAAAATTATTGGTTATCCCATTTAAGTCTCGTTATAAAAACACAGCTAGCATATCAGCCTGCATGACAAAATCCAGGAATTTTTATTTTATGAATTTTCTCTTCCTCAAAATTCCCTTTTTGCATAATTCAATGTGGGGCATGCTGCAACAAAACCAGACAAAGTGAACATTGGCATTACCAAGATTTTCAGGGATCAATAATGTTTAATG